ATGTAAAGAAAGAAAATGAAAATCGTGATGAGGCTAACTACAGTGATCTATATTCAGAATTTGTGCTCCTATCCCTATACAGTCCAAGTGCACACATAAAGCAATGGATATACACAAACGATGAACAAACACCAGAGCAGTGGGCAACTATTATTGTGGTACCTAAGGGGCAGTTGGAAGGAGTCAAACCAGCAACGTTTAGATTCAAACAATACTGGATAGGCACAAAGGGGCCCAAAGTGTGCCAGAACTACTCATGCGATGCAGAATGAATGCAGATTTTATTTATTTATTTATTTATTTATTTTTAAGTCACATTTCTGATCCTACCATCCAAAACTAGCAGTAGAAATTGAACCTCATCTTATCAGGCAACCTTTATTTATTCTATTTGTGTATGCATGAACAGTAGACCAATGTGCTCTTCTTCTGCTGCTATAGCACTTCTGCTTCAAGGGTTGAGACTTTGGTTTTTAAGAAATGGTTATTTGAGTTACTGTTGTTTTTTTTATCAGATTAAATCAATCGGGACATTCAACTCTGCCCTTTGGTATAAGCAATGTGTTTTTGCCAACATAATATGCACTCACTAGACATTTCCTTTCATTAGACCATTGCCTTTAAACCTTAGATATTATTGTGTGTAAAAATCTAAGAAGAACAGCACTTTCTATAATATTCAGACCAACTGGTTTGGCAGAAACAACCTAATAAATTTTATTAAGCCTTATAAGGGTAAAACATCTGATATACAAAGGACATGCAGAGAAATTGGCCAAAAGGTATGCATTGCATGAATAAACTTAGCTCTATTTTGGATCATCAATCCAATACACATAACATTATGTTAAAGAGTGTTCACATAGTGCTGTTTACAATATGTCCGTATAAGTAAATAGTTATGGAAGAGTGTTACCACACATATTAGGTCAATCAAGTAAAATTTATTTCAAACTGGTTCAACATTATTCAATTTGTGATTCCCCAATCAGACGCCACTTCTAAGCCACTATAAATACCCTAAGTTCCATATAACAGCCATCTTCGTTTTGAAGAATCCCCCCTTCCACCCCTAATCCTCCTCCTTTCCTAGATGGGTGGCACGGGGGCCCAGTGGTTAGCACTGTTGCCTCACCGCAAGAACGTCACTAGTCCTTACCAAGCCAGCCGACGTTTCTGTACGGAGTTTACTTGTTCTTCCCGGAGGGAGCCCAGGGCTTGAGGATCTTATGAGCTCAGGGCTCTCTCCAGGAACAGCATGCCAAACAAGCTTTGTAATCAATCATCAGCTAAGTGTGAACTCTTGAAACAGCCTTTCTTCCTAAATGACAACTTTTTACTTCTGTAGCATTTTTTGGTCAGTCTTTTTTTTTAAGGTACAATTCTTGCTCCAATAAATTATTAACTAAAAGTTTAATTATATAATCGCTCATATAAGTTTGCAGTAATGAAGACAAAAAATGTTGTTTTCAAACTCGCGGTGCACTCACGTCGCGGCCCGGGGTTCATTGGCGCTTGTGCACGCAAGCCGCGGACCTCCATTGGAATCATCAAACTTGTGCAGACTCTAGAAATAGGCAATATGCCGCCATCATTTGCAATCTCCATGTTGATCTTCTTGAACAGCCATGGTGGACCTGATTTGTTGACAAGTAGGTTGCGGATCTATTCCTTGGCAGTTCGTGGGTCATTTACTGGGCCTTTTTCCCTTAGCAAAAAAACTTTCTAAAGACGCCTGTTTCTTACTCATTTTGCTGCTTGTGGGTTAAATTTGGGCGCTAAAGTGACCAAGATGTAAGTGAGAGAAAACGGTCATTTTTCAAAATAAAAGATTTTTCAAAATAAAAGATAATAATAAATAAAACAGAAACAATTAATGATTTCTTTTGCGGCCCGCTACCAATTGATTTGCAGACTGGTGGTTGAGGACCACTGAGCTAGGGAATAAAATGAACCAAGGTAACATGATCCTTCTCCTAATTGTTCACTGCTAAGATTTTTTTTTAAATATGACGCAACCCCCCACAAAGCTCGCTGAGGCCCCCTTGAAGGGCCGCAGCCCCCCTGTTGGGAAACGCTGGTTTAAAGCACAAGCAGTTTCTTCAGGGAGCTTGCGAACCCTAGCCACGCGTCAATATTTGAAATATAACATTGGTACTTTTGGCAGTGAAAACGTAAGCCTGTTTATGGTGACCCTTACCGAACCATACCCTACTGTACCATACCACTCAGTGGAAACAGGCCAATAAAAATTAGCAAGGTGGAACTTTGGTTTAGGTATTGAGTAGGATTAGGCATCTAGAATAAGCTTATTTTTTATACTATACTAATCCTAATAATCAGCTATTATCTTATTAATAATCAGGAAATAAGTAACTAGTTGGAATTAGCACTTAAACTAAAGTGTTATCTTTCCCTGGAGAAAAAAACAAGGACTACAATCAAGGCATCTGAGGAGGTTCAGAAACTCCCATTACGATAGATCTCCTTTAAAATTGCATCATTTTGGCTTTGCTGCTTCTTTGCTTTGTAGTAGCTTGTGTGTAGTTGGTGACCAAAGTGGCCAAAGATCAAACTTTGTCAACAGTCTCTTCAGTGGATGACTGTAACTTGTGAACGCATCTTCCTGCGCAGACGCGTCTCTCTCTCTGCCTTGCTTCTTTCTTTGTCCCTTTCTCTCTCACCTTATTTGTGATGCTTCAAAAACTCCTTTGTATCGCTCCTCCCTGATATAAACACACTCGGAGCGCAGATGTTTTCCGACACAAATACAAACAGAGCGTGAACCAGAATACATGCGCCACTCTCAAAGCTCCTAAATAAACAGGCACAAAGACGCAACCAAAGCATATCAACAGACAGAATTACATCATCAAGAGCTCACAATGCAGTCGACGTAGAAAAAAAAAGACTTTTGTATGACACATCTGACATTTACTTATACATCTAGAGCAAAATATGTTTTTTCTACATCTACCAATAGGGGGAGCAGTTTGAGAACAACAACTTTTCAAGCTACTGATTCACTTTACACAGAAATAGAGTAAAATAGGACACAGCGTGTCATTTCATGAGCAGAGATCCCCAAGGAAAAGCAACATTGTTTAGATTTTTGAAGACAATGATGTAATAAAGCTCCTGCCATGACGGCTGACAGGTGGTTTGGATGGTATCGTGTCACAAGACAATCAAATCATTGGATTGAAGACGGTGTGTTTGAAAAGCGGGAGTTCTCACTTGAGGTGTGCTTGAGGTGAAAAAAATGATGCAATTTTTTCAGCTCACTAATTCAATGAGCGCAGTGTCAAAGACTTCATCGCAGGGACTCCTGATTGGTAATGAGTTTGCAAATGGAAACACTGGTGTCAAAATGCTCTCAGTTCAGTTGAATAAATATGAGATGTGGAATCATGTGTCCGTTACAACACAGGCACATTCTGAAAACGTACTGCTATATACTTTTCTAGAGCATTAAATACATTCTAGGAGCTACATTTTTTTTGCAGTTTTTTGTTTTTGTGAATCCACCAGAGGCCGATTTGTATACTTTTTGACATCTCAAATTTCTCTCACGAGTACCTGTTCTTCTCGCGTAAATCCACCAGAGGCCACTGTCGACTGACTGACTGACTGACTGACTGACCAATAGACTAACCCACCCTCCTTTCCCAAACCCAACCAATAGCGTTTTAGTGCAGACTGACCCACCCATCCACTTCCCTAAACCCAACAAACAGTTTAAAAAGCAATCCAGAAACAGAAAAGCCCTTGTCTGATTTTTACCACATTTTCATATTTTACCACATTCTCACCCTGTTATTTATTTGCTTATTTTATTTTTTTTTGCTTCTGCTTTTGTCTTACACGCTTTCTGGAACCGTTCTTTGCGGAATTCTAACCCTGTTGTCGTGGTAAACTCCTCTCTGCATCTCAAGTCCGCCGATGTAAATGGCGTGCGAACTTGACAAACTGGTAACAGCGGAAAGCCGTCAATATGTAGGCAAGTGGTCAGCTGGTAAGCGTGAAAAGGAACAACGTCATAACGTCCCTTAATGTTCGTTTTAAAGACGAAATGCAGCCATACATACTTCTGGATACTAAATTTGTAATCTCCATAAATGTATATAGGGCTACATATGGGGTCAATAAAATTGGTGTTTTTTTACTATGGCTCGTCTCAATTGAAATAATTGTGTTGTGCTTCACAGAATATCCACCAGGTGGCACATCTAACAACAAACACCACTGTACAAAATACATCATAACATTTTTAAAAATATACAGGTTTACATTTTTACTATTATTTTCAACATGTATTTATTTTGTATTTAAGACAGATAAACTTCATATTTATATATATGGACACTCCACATTCGTGCTGGACGGCATTAAACAGATAGTGCTCTGCACTGCACGAATTATGCCAGTCAGTCGCAGTTTACATAAAAATTCGATTTAACATAAAAACCCAGATACAATCCTAATGTTTATTGGTATTGTTATGTCTTTGGTTTTATTTGTATAATTTACTTTAGTATGTCAAAACAATTAGGCCTATAGCTTACTGCATAAAAGTAGAATGAAAAATAAAATATTATGTTAATGTCATGTTATATTGGACAAACGATTCTGGGAAAATAATAGATTTTTTACTGAGAACAGACTGTTGTTGGACACTGTTTCAATTCACTATAATCTACTATGTGTAGCTACTTTGTGAATCTACATTGTAAAAGCACTATAAAAATAAAGATGAATTGAATTGAATTGAACTGTTGTCTGAGTTTGTGACTCCCCATATCTAAACGGACATTTAATCCTTTTTACATATGATTAGGCTTAAAAAAAGCTTTTTTTTAAAGTTTTATTTCATTTATTTTAACATAATTTTTTTATTTATATATTTCATGCTATTTTCACTGAGGTTCGTTTTCAGAATAAGCCTATGTTAGTTAGTTCCATTGATTGTGAGTTTTAGAGATTGCAAACGCGTGACTTACGGGTTTCCGTAGTCCCAGACGACACACTGAGGATCCGTCGTGCCCTTTGAGGAGAAAGAAAAACAGAAAATCTTAGGATTTTTTTTAGAAATGCAAGAAAGCGCAAGTGTTGCAGGTCAATAATTGAATAAGAAATAAATTTATACAGTTGAATCTGAAAAAAGAAGAACACATGTACAAATCTAACAGATTTATTTATCAAACCAGGTGGCTTTGAAACAATATCACGGACTGATACCTAACATACAGTGTGTATACATAAAATATGACAGCCATCTAAATAAACCATCTAATAAAAAAGTGTGGGGTGGCACGCTGGAGAAGTGGTCATCACTGATGTCCACAAGAAGGTCACTGCTTCGAGCTCCGACTGGACAATTTGGCATTTCTATGTGGAGTTTGCATGTTCTCCCCGTGTTTATGTAGGTTTGCTCCTAGTGCTCTATTTTTCCCTACAGTCTGCTATAGGTGAATTGGATGGACTAAAGTGGCCATAATTTATGAGTGTGTGTGAATGCTAGAGTGTATAGGTGTTTCTCAGTACTGGGATGCAGCTGGAAGGGCATCTACTGAATATATGTAAAACATATGCTGGCAAACACATAAAACATAAATCTGTTTTAGCACAAAACATATGCTGGAATAGTTGGCGGTTCATTCTTCTGTGGCGAAATTTAATAAATAAGAAACTACACTAAAGGAAAATGAATGAATAATTGAATAAATGAATGGAAAATTGCATTTTATAATAATAATAATAATAATAATATAAATTTATAATAATATGATATAAATAAACTACAATGCAGCTCGAAAAGAAAGAAAGAAAAAAAAAAAACACTCATTTCTAATTCATTGATTCGTGATGAATCTGGGATGAACCCCTCACTTTGTGCCCAGTGTGAGTCTCTAATCAGAGTTCATTGGTGCATGGCTGAATGAGCAGCTCATTATTGATTCATCAGTGAATCAACTGATATAATTGACTAATCTGCCTCTGCTCAAGTTATGCCTATTATCTCTTTTCAGGAGGTGAAATCTCAGTTGGGATCGTTTGATCTGAACAATGATCACCTCTGACCTTCAGGAGTATATCAGACTCCTAATTTGGCTGCCAGAATCAAAGGGTAATTACAAGTCATTATGTGGTCTCAACCAGGTTGTGTACTTTAAATGAGGGCATGCAGGTTCAGTGATACACAGTCTTACAAAGAGCAGTGCTTTTTAACATCAAATGTTTTTGAAATTTTATTTAATTTATTCAAACTCTGTGTACCTAACGATTGTCATGTTATATGTTATGCTATATTTTATGTTATTTGCTGTTATATGTTGTTGTGTTATGCTGTATTACATTATGTTATGTTGTATTGCATTGTTTTGCATCGTGTTTTATAAAACAGTTCTGTCTGGATCTCAAATTTGATTGGCTGATAGCTGTGAAATATTTAAGTTATATCAGCATCCGTACAGCCTCTTTACCCTTTGTGTATTACTCTGCCTAAATACAGCCAGCAACAAGCAGACACTACAGTTTGACAACTATTACTGCTGTTGGACAACCAAATATATTTTGAGGCTTTTTTAGTCAATAATGTAGTTGTTTAGATTGCAACTATGCAATTTTTTTGCAAGAATAGTGCCTATTTTAAAACATTCACAATTTCTGTGAGCTCGTCGGAGGCGGTCGTCAATAAGAAACTGCGAATAAGAAGCTGGATTCAGCCTTGTCCCTCCTTATCGCAAACACAACAGCAGTCTGGTAAGAAATCTCTGTAGATGGATGGCATTTCATGTCACGTTCAGCCTTATAATCTTAAAATGTGAGCAAAATTAGCTGTTTTGTCATCACACACCAGAAGCGCAGCTTCACATTACGCTATAGAGAATCATTCAGATACTAATTATTGCGGTTGTGTAATTATTGTTATGTTAGGTATGTTGTGTTGTTATGCTGTTATGTTACGTTGTGTTACCTTACATTGTGGTACGTTACATTGTGTTACATAATGCGTTACATTACGTTACGTTGTGTTAGGTTATATTGTGTTACGTTTTCTTGTGTTACGTTATGTTACGTTACATTGTGTTACGTTACGTTGTGCTACGTTACGTTGTGTTAGGTTACGTTACGCTGTGTTGCGTTGCGCTGTGTTACGTTACGCTGTGTTACGTTACGCTGTGTTACGTTATGCTGTGTTGTTACGTTGTGTTACGTTACGTTGTGTTACGTTACGTTGTGTTACGTTACGTTGTGTTACGTTGTTACCTTATGCTGTGTTGTTATGCTGTGTTAAGTTATGTTGTGTTACATTATGTTGTTTAACATTACATCGCGCTGTGTTACATTATGATGTGTTGTTACGTTGTGTTGTGTTACATTACATTGTGTTACATTACGTTGTGTTACATTACATTGTGTTATGTTACATTGTTACATAATGTTGTGTTGCATCACTTTGTGTTACGTCATGTTATGTTCTGTCACATTGTGTTGTTACGTTGTGTTACATTGTGTTATGTTGCATTATGTTACGTTATGTTGTGTCACATTATGTTGCGTTACGTTGTTACCTTATGCTGTGTTGTTATGCTGTGTTAAGTTATGTTGTGTTACATTATGTTGTTTAATGTTACATTAAGCTGTGTTACATTATGCTGTTACGTTATGCTGTGCTGTTACGTTGTGTTGCTTTACAATACATTGTGTTACATTACGTTGTGTTACATTACATTGTGTTATGTTACATTGTGTTATGTTACATTGTTACGTAATGTTGTGTTGCGTCACTGTGTTACGTCATGTTGTGTTACGTCACGTTGTGTTGTTACGTTGTGTTAAATTGTGTTATGTTGCGTTACATTTCGTTGTGTTATGTTACAATGTGCTACGTTACGCTGTGTTACGTTACATCATGTTATGTAAGGTTAGGTTGTGTTACGTTACATTGTGTTACATAAAAATATTACATTACATTGTGTTATGTTACACTGTGTTACGTTACGTTATTTTACATTATGTTGTTTTATGTTGTTTTGTGTTACGTTGTGTTGTGTTATGTTATTTTATGATACATTTTGTTATGCTATGTTACATTGTGTTTTGTTGTTATATTGCATTATGTTGTTTTACTGCCCTGTCATGTTGTATTACATTGCATTGTGTTACATTATGATACGTTGTAGACACAAAATCTTGAACAGAATTAGTGTTGTAATTGATGAGGCAAAACTAGATGTACACATACGGGTACACACCTGTAAACAATAGCATAAGCAAACAATGAATACTAAAGCAGGAAACGCTGTCCTGTAATCTTGACAGTCATGGTCCCCTTCACACAGAGTGCATTTCAGGACAGAAAAGCTATCAAATCAGTCCAGAAACTCTTGCGCAGCTGCTCAATCATTGTAATATGTCTGCTAAGGCCAGTTATAAGTGTCCAGTATGGGCTTGTGCCACTCCACTGGCTCGATTGTACTTCCGACCAGATGGCTTTGGTCCTCTCGTTCATAATGAAAACAAATGAACAGAGCGTTTTTGTCATCGCAGGTGGTAAACAAACCCAACGACACATGCGATTGAATACATCATCTCAATTTGACACTCAGATGACTGACAGCCAGACACTTTTGGACACTGGCGATCAATAAAGGCAACCGATGCCAGGAAGTCTGTGTTAAGCCTGATGAATGGGGTGGAGCGCCAGCCAATAGCACAGCTGGAGTGAACTGCCTCCATTTCCCAGCAGCCTCTCGGGGTCAGGCCGGCTCAGAGCAGCTGTCCACACAGAGAGGACAAGTCCCAACACGCGGGCTCAGATTCCCCCCTCTGTGTCCCAAACATCTGTGGCCAGAGCACCGTTGCACAATCTGGATGGTGACCCCTGCCAAGGTCTTCCGTGTGCAGATGCGGCTCACACAGGACCACGGCTGAGCAGGGCACAACCTCAGGACGGCGAGGGATTTGTGCATAGAAAACATTCATGAATCACTCCTGCATTCACAAAACCCACACCACTGCGCAGGAATAGGCAAGTAAAGTTGCCATCTTTTTGTTAAGCCTGACGTCATGTGTCACAGTTACTGTACTGTGTCCAAATGCTCTATCACAGTGGTTCTCAAACTTTTTTCATCAAGTACCACCTCAGAAAAAAATAGTCTCTCCAAGTACCACCAAAATGAGCAGTATTGAAATACAGTAGCGTAGTAGGCCCAAAAAAGCAGCTACAACTCTGCACAGTTAAAAAAAAAAAAGTGGCAGATTACCTCAGAAATATAGGCTATTTGTCATATATGGCATATTATATCCATCATTTTTGATCAATTTTGAAATGTGTCTAGCATGTATATGACATATTTCATTCCTCCGCGTACCACTAAAGTAAGCCTGCGTTCCACTAGTGGTACACATACCTCAGTTTGAGAACCACTGCTCTATCAGATGCCAAAGGTGAATAATAAATTGTCACCTTAGAATTTTAAGGTTCTATCAAAATTGAGTTATTGACATATTCTTATATCATGACAACTTATTTACATTGTTATTTTTTATCTAAGTTCTTCACATTTTAAGACTTTTTATTTTGAAAAAATAAAAATGGTTTTATCTACAAAGTTAAAAGCCCCTTTCACACATACAGATCTTTCCGGAAAATTACCGGCAATTCCAGAAAGAGGAGTTGTAATAGTACCGGTAATTTGCCAGAATGCTGCACTGTGTGAACACAGAAGGAAGATTGCCGGAAAGAGCTTGTTCATGTCTAGAACGTGTTGACATAAGACGTGTACTTTCGCCAATCAGAACACTCAGACCATTCACGTCCGTGTGATTTTTGAGAATAAAGGCCTGTGCATGCTTTCCAACACACATTTAGCTGCAAAATGTTAGTACGATAACATTTCTATGCTTCTTCCTAAAGCCAACTCTGTGAATAATTATCAATAAAATACTTATGATAAGCTGTTGTTTGTTTACCTTTAAGCTCTGACGCGTGTGCACTTAAAGCAGCTGGTGAGCGCCAGCACACACACATATTATGAACATCTCGACATGCAAAAGTGTTTCTCTATGCTTTCATCAAAGTTGTTCACATTACTGATCCATCCACAGAGTTGTAATGTAGTCAAATGTTTACAAATACAAGCGCAGCCGTTTAGAGTTAATTTCTGGTTAATGATGTCAGAATTTACTGGTATTTTGGAATAGATGTGTGAATGGTCCTTTCCGGACAAATTCCATAACGTCCTCACCTGTGTGAACAGCGCTTTTTTGAATATACTGGTAAAGTCGTTCTGGAGGTTTTCCGGATATTTGTCGTTATCACTGTGTGAAAGGGGCTAAACCAGGGGTGGCCAACCCTGTTCCTAGAGAGCCACCTTCCTGCAGATTTCAGTTGCTACCCATATTAAACACACCTGAACCAATTAATTAGGACCTGAAGACCACGTGATAATTACAGGCAGGTGTGTTTGATATAGGTTGCATCTAAAATCTGCAGGAAGGTGGCTCTCCAGGAACAGGGTTGGCCACCCCTGGGCTAAACTCTAGCTTAGCTGTATTTCTTTCTGTGAGCCAATCAGCATTTTAAATGTACACGATGACCAATCAAGGTCAGTTTTCCTTTTCATTCTGCCACACTTCTCCACTGACAGCGGGAAAGACCAAAAAGAAACACAAAATCAGAGTTGACTAAATAATGCCGCACCACACAAAATTTAGAAGAAACCTAAAAACTTAAAAGATGTGTGTACATGTGATGATTTAGAGGTATTTTTTGACATTGAGAAGAAATGTTAAATTTATTTTTTATCTAATTTAATTTTTAATTATTTTTATTTAAAAAAGGTAATATATTAAATGTGAAATATTTTTATTTGTGCGTATATAGTCAGTGAAACATTTTCAGTGTTTATTATCCTCATTTGCTTATATTTTTTTTAATCTTTTACTTCGATATTAAGCCTTGAAGGGCAAATACTTAATATAATTCAATAAATATCATTCATATAAAGCATATCCAGTTGAAATTAGAATTATTAAACCCCCTTTGAAATGTTTTTTTTTTTCTTTTTTTAAATATTTCCCAAATGATGTTTAACAGAGCAAGGACATTTTCACAGTGTGTCTGATAATATTTTCATTCTGGAGAAAGTCTTATTTATTTTATTTCGGCTAGAATAAAAGCACTTTTTAATTTAAAAAAAAAAACATTTTAAGGACAAAATTACTAGCCCCTTTAAGCTGTATTTTTTTCAATAGTCTACAAAACAAGCCACTGTTATACAATAACTTGCCTAATTACCCTAATCTGCCTAGTTAACCTAATTAAACTAGTTAAGCCTTTAAATGTCACTTTAAGCTATATAGAAGTGACTTGAAAAAAATCTAGTCAAATATAATGTACTGTTATCATGACAAAGATAAAATAAATCAGATATTAGAAATGAGTTAATAAAACTATTATGTTTAAAAATGTGCCGAGAAAATCTTCTCTTCGTTAAACAGAAATTGGGGCAAAAATAAACAGTGTTAATAATTTAGGGGGTTTAATAATTCTGATTTCAACTGTAACAAAAAAAAAATAAAAAAAATATAAATATAAAAATATATATATATATATATATTATTATATTAAATTCCATGAAATTTTTAAATTGCTAACCACTGAGCCACCATGCCGCCCTTATTTGTAATTGTTTAAATATTTATTTATCTGCTACTCTGAGTACATTTATATATATAAAAAAAAAAAACTATACTAAAATTTTAGTACAGATTTACGAGCAAATATAGCTGTGATTAAATGAAATGAAACGTAATCCCATTTGATTTTAAATAAATAAGTACTTTTATTGCAGTAACTAGTTACTTTGTAAGTAATTGCACTCAATTCTGACAGTAATTTACCTTTTATGAATCATACAATATGGGTGTCAGGAGGCTTTATTATTTATTATATATGATATACAGTGTTCATAAACAGCTCATTTTTTCAATCCAAGGCTTGACTCCGGAATCAGCGCATGTCGACTCACCCAAGCACAATCCAATATGAAGCTTTCACATTTTGCATAAATCCTTGCGGGTATATCCTTATTACATTTTCTTCCCCACATAAAATATTGAGGGGTTTTATGTGCGGTACTTTATGTTCTGTGTATTTAGGGTTTTTTAAAGATGTGCTTTTCATAACAGGGGATTATTAATAGATGGTCATTCCAACAGAACTGTATTTCAATGCCTGATTATGGTGTTTAAATACACTCGCTGTGTTAGAATCTGCGCTCACTATATTTCTAAAACAGTTTGTCACAATGAGCTTGTGCGCATTGGTTATGGGTCATATATAGTGCTATAGTTCAAGCACAAAGGGAAATGAGAGAACATGTAAGACAGAAATAACAGTACACATGTTTGTATTTTGCTTCAGTAAAGCGTGAAAAATGCATCATGCATTCGCTGGAAATGTGATATGGGAAATCTAACAACATGAACCTGAAAATAGTCTGCTGATTACTTACACACAACCTGTCCAAAGTTTGAAAACATTCAGATTTGACTGTATTTTTTGGGAATATTGAGAAATATTATATCAGTTCATAATGATTTTTGGGGGGTTTTCACCTTTATTAAATAGGAAAGTAGAGAGAACTGACAGAAAAGCATGGGGAGCAGAGAGAGAGGGGAAGGATCGGCATAGGAACGTGAGGTAGAATCTAACTCGGGTCACCGTGAGCACCGGAGTGCATGTGTCGACGCATTAACCACTACACCATT